CCAGATTTCTAGTCAAGGAGTCATGCTGCCTTCCCTTAAATGAGAAAACTTCACATTCAGGACACAGATATGTAACAGAAGAGTGCTTGAACTGACTGGATGGAGAAACATTACTGTATCCCCCTCTAAGAGAGCCAAATCCAAGTGGACCTTACAAGCTGGTATTGCATTTTAGAAGTGAGATTAAAAAGTGAGTTAACACTATTAAAGGTCGCTCAGAATTTCCTATCAAATTCATTTCTTCAAGAAATTTCCAGCTTTTCTTCTGTATTTATCACTGAACCTTTCTACTCCGCAAATATATTAAATATAAAGCAAGTGATTCTAACCTTAGAGAAAGAAAATAAAATGCCACAGGTTGGAGCATATTACCAGTTCACAAGTTTTGACTACTTCTATCAAATGCCTTATAGCAATTTTTTTTCTTTGCCAACACTTAGTATTTTAATTTTTATTGCAAGATCTAAATGAGCATAAGTTTTGGCTTTGGTGAAGTACAGTTCAGTAGTTCTTTTATGACTAGTACCTTTTCTATACTACCTAAGAAACCTTTGTCTTGTCCAAGGTTGTAAAAATATTCTGTTTTATCAAGATAAACATGGTGCTTTATGATTCTAGATTTTATAGTAAGGTCTGTGGTCCAGCTCAAATTATTGTTTGTGTATGTTGTAAGGTGGGGGAGGGCTCAAAGTTCTATTTTATGTTTCTCATGATTACCTAGTTTTCCCACATGATATGACTACATTTCCCTTTTACCACTGCACTCCATTGGTACTTTTTATAGCATATTTATTATTGAACTCTCAAGCATTCCTATGTTCTATTAAAAGTGGCTACCAGTGAGTGAGATTCAATATGGAAATACGTAAAATACGTCATCAATTATAGGGACTTCAAGCTTTCCCCTCTTTACATAGTTTCTAGGTTATCTAGATTGCAGTGAAATGAAGAAACTTTTCATTTATTTATTATTCTAACACCACCTGTGAATCAATTAGGAACTTTAAGTACAGAATGGCTATGTCTACTTGACAGTAATTAGCTTAGTTAAGTCAAAGACTGTACAAGTTTATATAAGTAGAAAGTTTTCTGTCAAAAATAAAACAATAAAAAGCTTTCTGTATACCCATGGGAAGAATATTGCCCACACACCTCTTGCAGTAATAATGTCTAGTAGAGCCAATAGTGCTTCATAGTGGTGAGGTGTGAAAATAGTCACTTATCTGTTAAATCACACTCCTGCTAACAGAATTGAATTTTCAACTTAATAATCAAATGAATCTGTCTTCAATGCTATATAGATCATGGGGTCTCTGAGTATAGTAGCAAGTCCCCAAATTGGTCCAAAAACTAAGGGTAGTACCTACTAATCTCTAAGTTCTTAGACAGCTTTGATATTTTAATAATAATAATAAATACCATGTACTGAATCCTCACTACATGCCGCATACCATGCTATGTGCTTTACCAATACCTTTTCATTTAAATCTTCTAACATTCCCTTTGAGATGGGTTTTATCTCTTTGTTTTAATTGAAGCTTAAAGATGCTATGTAATATCCCAAGGTCCAAAACTAGTGCAGAGCTCTGATTAAACTCAGCCATTTTGGCCCCCAAACCCATGTTCTTACGCCTAATTTATGTGTGTGTGTGTGTGTGTGTGTGTGTGTGTGTGTGTATACATGTAATGAAAGAGCTTATTACTGTGACTTTACTCTTGGTGGGGAGTGGCAAATGGCAATGTTTATATTACAAAGGTGGCCAAAGAGTCTACAGTATTGAACTCAGCCTGAAAACTGGCTATTTATGCTTGCCTTTTTGGTGATCTTTTGTATTCTTAAAAAGTTATGTAGGTGATTTTTATATTCAAATTTTTTCTACAGTTAGATTTTCTGAAAAATAATTATTCTGTGGTTGACGTCAATATTTAGTCATTTAAATGTGTCTGATCACTAACAGAGATAGATTATTTAGTAATTTTCTTGGCTTTTGCAACAATGTAAAAAATACACCATAGGAAAGAATTGTGACAGGACAACCCTTCAAAGTATTAATTCTGGAGTATTAATTCTTCCTAGTCCCAAAGTGTACAAATGCATACACATGTCATAAGTAAATCAAGATGACAAATATTCAAACATTAGCTTTCAAAACAGCTACTGACCAGAGAGAGAACCAAGATGGTGGCGTGAGCAGAGCAGTGGAAATCTCCTCCCAAAACCATATATATTTTTGAAAATACAACAAATACAACTAATCCTAAAAGAGAGACCAGAAGACACAGGACAACAGCCAGACTACATCCACACCCACGAGAATCCAGCGCCTCATGAAGGGGGTAAGATACAAGCCCCAGCCTGGCGGAACCCGAGTGCCACCCACCCCAGCTCCTGGTGGGAAGAGAGGAGTCGGAGCGGGGAGGGAGAGGGAGCCCAGGACTGCTGAACACCCAGCCCTAGCCATCCGCACCAGAGTGCAGACACAGCACGTGTGTGGGTTGCTGGAAACTAGGGAAACAGGACAGTAAGACCTGTGAGCGGGTCCCCGCAGCCAGCACCCCTGGGACAAAGAAAAGCGAGTGCTTTTTGAAAGTCTTAAAGGGACAGGGACCCCACAGCTGGACGGAAGCGCCCTGGGACACTTAGCCCAGCAGTTGCGAATCCTGGGGAACTCTGGGTGCCCGAACCCCTGCAGCGCAGCTTGGAGGTCCCTCACCGCAATAAACAGCCTCCCGCCTGTTCCCCCTCCGACGTGGCTCTGCCATATTGGAGCAACAGCCTGAGGCAGGCCACGCCCACAGCCACTGCCGAACTAAATAAACTCCATAGTGGCCAGGCAAGATCAGAAGCCCTGTCTGCACACAGCTGCCCAGGACAAGCCGCGAGAGGCTGCTGTTCTCCCAGGAGAGGCAAACTGGCAAGAAGGCCACAAACTGGCAAGAAGGGACTTTCTCTTACCCAACACACGTGCCAGCTCCCCACAAATATATCTATCACCATGAAAAGGCAGAAGAAATTGATACAGACCAAGATCACAGAGGCAAACCCTGAGGAGATAGACCTAACCAGTCTTTCTGAAAAAGACTTAAAAATAAAGCTCATAACCATGCTGATGGAGCTGCAGAGAAATATGCAAGAGCTAAGGGATGATGTCCAGAGGGAGATTACACATGTCCAGAGGGAGATTACAGAAATGAAACAATCTCTGGAAGGATTTATAAACAGAATGGATAAGATGCAAGAGGCCATTGGTGGAATAGAAACCAGAGAACAGGAACGCATAGAAGCTGACGCAAAGAGAGATAAAAGGATCTCCAGGAATGAAACAATATTAAGAGAACTGTGTGACCAATCCAAAAGGAACAATATCCGCATTATAGGGGTACCAGAAGAAGAAGAGAGAGAGAAAGGGATAGAAAGAGTATTTGAAGAAATAATTGCTGAAAACTTCCCCAAACTGGGGGAGGAAATAATCGATCAGACCATGGAAGTGTACAGAACTCTCAACAGAAAGGACCTAAGGAGGACAACACCAAGGCACATAATAATTAAAATGGCAAAGATCAAGGACAAGGACAGAGTTTTAAAGGCAGCCAGAGAGAGAAAAAAGGTCACCTACAAAGGAAAATCCATCAGGCTATCATCAGACTTCTCAACAGAAACCTTACAGGCCAGAAGAGAATGGCATGATATATTCAATGCAATGAAAGAGAAGGGCTTTGAACCAAGAATACTGTATCCAGCCCGACTATCATTTAAATATGAAGGAAGGATTAAACAATTTTCAGACAGGCAAAAGTTGAGGGAATTTGCCTCCCACAAACCACCTCTACAGGGTATTTTAGGGGGACTGCTCTAGATGGGAGCACTTCTAAGACTAAATAGATGTCACCAGAGAAAATAAAATCACAGCAAAGAAAGCAGACCAACCAAATAGTAACTAAAGGCAAAAAATAAAATCAACTACCCACAAAAGCAGTTAAAGGAAGCAGAAAAGAGCACAGAATAAAACAACCAACATATAAAGAACAGAGGAGGAGGAATAAGAAGGGAGAAAAATAAAGAATGACCAGACAGTGTTTAAAATAGCTCAGTAAATGAGTTAAGTTAGACAGTAAGATACTAAAGAAGCTAACCTTGAACCTATGGCAACCACGAATCTAAAGCCTGCAATGGCAATAAGTACATATCTTTCAATAATCACCCTAAATGTAAATGGACTGAATGCACCAATCAAAAGACACAGAAAAATAGAATGGATAAAAAAGGAAGACCCATCTCTGTGCTGCTTACAAGAGACTCACCTCAAACCCAAAGACTGTAGGAACAAAGAAAGACCTGGAGGAACAAAACAGCAGCAGAATCATAGAACCTAAGAATGGACTAACAGTTACCAAAGGGAAAGGGACTGGGGAGAAAGGGAGGGAAGGGAGGGATAAGGGTGGGGAAAAAGAAAGGGGACATTACAATTAGCATGTATATGTGGGGGGGTGGCGCATGGGGAGGGCTGTGCAACACAGAGAAGACAAGTAGTGATTCTACAGCATCTTACTATGCTGATGGACAGTGACTGTAATGGGGTATGTGGGGGGGATTTGGTGAAGGCGGGACCCTAGTAAACATAATACTCTTCATGTAATTTTAGATTAATGACAACAAAATTAATTAATTAATTTTTTTTAAAAAGCTACTGACTTAGCCCTATGTGGAAAGCTCCTACATCTACATTTTGACAGAGTTTTTGCTCCCAGGAATTAGATAAAGTATGCTCTCAGGGTAAAGAGAACAGTGGGAGTGAAGAGGCAACATGGACACGAAGGCACATGGGAAAGAAATGCCACACCCTCTCCAGAGCTTGCACTGCTATCAGCCCAGAGCCAGGGCACATCTCAGAGGCTGAGGCAGAACTTAGGGCTGAGATGATCCTCTTATTGTCATTTTGTGGCTTCCATCATTCCCCAGTAGTCAGCCTGCCACCCATCATTTTCCAGTTGAAGTGTTGCTTGCCTCTGTCCCAAGAATCTTTTCATATTCTTCTGACTGACCAGCTCTTGGGAATAATCCCTCACCTAAAGGCCCAGAACATTCATAAGCACCACTTAGCTCCTCTCTATGCCCCGAGATTAGAGAGAAGACTTGCAGTCCTTGATGGATGACTACAAAAAAGGAAAAAAAAAATCCATATACCATGCTGTGCTTTACCAATACCTTTTCATTTAAATCTCCTAACATCCTATGGAATAGGTTATCTATCTTTGTTTTGAAGGAAGCTTAGAGATGCTATGTAATGTTTTTGGAGGTGGATTTTTCTCTGATTCCCCCTCAAGTCATGGGAAGTTGAATGAAGGGACTAGTTTCTAAGTTCTTAGAAGCCTAAACTCAGTTGCTCAATGTAAAACCAAAGTTAGGTTTTCATTGATTAAATTAGTGTATTGCTCATTCTCCCATGAATACTTATGTCACTAGAATTTTTACAGGTGGGGAAGGAGGGTGTTCTCCTATTGCTGAGCATTTCTCTAATGATCACTCTGTAATTTGTACACCCAATAATTTATCTCTGGATATTTCACTGGCTTCACACCATCCACTGTTGTTATACCAACAAAACTCATCAGGTTGCACTTTCTACATTGGCTCTCTAGTTGTTTCCTGCATAGATTTTTATGTCTTTAGAACCGTTTTTTTAGAGAAACACTAATTTTTTGCATCACTTTATATATATCAGTGAATTTAAACAGTTCCTTTTTTGTGGCAAAAAAAAACTTTAAAGACTTTTCTTAGGTATAAACAGAACATTCAAATAAAATATTCTATAGCGCACAGCAATAGCCAGATATTAAATAAATCAAAAAGTGTTTTTCATAAGTATTAAGTTGACTCCTGATTAACACTGTATACTCTCATTAATGTTTCACATATTGTTTCTGTTCAACCAATTTCAGAACTTCATGAAAAAGTTGAGTGGTAGGCTGGGTAATAGGGTAACACAATGGGAGCTTCTTTTCCAAGGCTGGCATGTGAATAAAGTACCTGCAAATCATAAAAAGAAACAAAATAGCTTTAAAAACAAGAATTTTCATGGTCCCATCAGTATAAACACACTCACTGGCTTAGCTTTGGAGGGTGCAGGAGTCTAACTCACAAGACTTAGCCAGGATTTTCAGCCCTCCAACTCCCCCATTTGTGACCTAGAAGACTTCCGATACATGTGCCTTTCAGCTCACTGAAGCACTTTACTTCAGTAAAGGACATGATCATCAGTTATCAAAGCTTTAATGAGGAAACGGAACTGACTTCACCACCACACTGTGAGCTGAGGCTCATGCTTCTTGCTTTCTCAGGCAATACAGAGCTTCAAGTTGGAATGGAAGAGCCAAGCTGTGGTCACCACCAGGGCCAAGTCAAGAGGGAATAGTAGGGCTCATCCCCAGGCCTCAGGAAAAAGGAGAAAGGAAAAGCCAGGGAAGACACAAAAGTGAGAAAACTTTAAGCCATTCCTTTGGATAGCTTAAGATTCGTTCTCAATCATGGGTGCACAATGAAATCACCTGGAGAGTTTTTTTTAAATGTCAATGGCCAGACCTCACATCAGACAAACTGAACAGAATTTCTACATGTGAGACCTGGATATCAGGACTTCTTAATAGTTACTTGTGATCCTATTGCATAGCAAGTCGGAAATCACTAGTTTAAAACAAAGATCATAAACCTAAATGCTCACAAGTAACATATTAAGAGTAAGAAAAGAGAGAGAAGATAGTGGCACACTGAACAAACGTGATCTCCCTAAGAGGGCGGCTGCTATGATGACATGTACAAGTGTGACACCATTTTGCCAGTTCAGATTTTTAAATGTGCATGACTTTTTTAAAAATTAGGTTGTGCGCCTAAGACAGGCACAGTCGCAGGGGCGCCATCAGGTGAGAAATTGGGGATCAACAGAGGTGAGGCTCAGAACCCCACCCACCCCTGTTTTGAGAGAAATCTTCTGCATCCGTGGAGGTTTTGTTGCCCTTGTCTAGCTTGGATTAATACTTAGTCTATAGGCACACACCTGATAATCTACATTTGCCCTCTTACAGCACTAAACTATGTTTTCTACCTTTATCTTTCATCTACCTACTACTTCAGCATTTTATTAAAAATAATAATAATAACAATAATAATAAGAGAGAAATGTGGGATTCACATATAAATCAAGTATAAAAAATCAAACGAATATTCATATTTGACCTGATTGTTTATAGTTCATAATGCATGATCAAAACTGAAAGTTTCTGTGATGACTGCCCTTGCACTGTTCACCATGTAAGAACTTATTCACTATGTAAGAATTTGTTCACCATGTAAGAACTTGTTCGTTATGCTTCAGAAGATTAGAGACTGTTGAGAACTAGGCTTGGGGTTGATTAATGATTGTGCATTGAGTCCCCTATACAGAATTTTATTGTTGTTAACAACCATTTGATCAATAAATATGAGAGATGCCCTCTCAAAAAAATAAAATAAAATAAATAAATAAAATAAATAAAGTGTCTTAAAACCTAAAAAAAAAAAAAATTAGGTTGTGCGATACATGCTACATGTATCGTATGGATGAAGCTTGAAAATATGCAAAGTGAAAGAAGTCACACAAAAAAGGTCATATACTATATGATTCCATTTATACGAACTGTCCAGAAGCAGCAAATCCACAAAGATGGAAAGTAGATTAGTGGCTGCCAGGGGCTGGGGGGAGGGGAGAAGATGGTGCACCTACTTAACGGGTGCGGGTTTCTTTCCGGGTGACGAAAAAGTCCTGCAATTAGATGGTGGTGATAGTTGTGCAAAACTGTGATGTGTTAAAAGCCACTAAACTGCATGCTTTAAAATATTTAAAATGGTGAATTTCATGCTGTATGAATTGTACCTCAAAAAACAAAAGTGTGGAAAAACTTGAATTGTGTGCAGCAACTCATAGTGGGCCAAACAATATCTTTTTATAGAAGCCAGAATGGAACTTATGGTGTAAAACCACATGGAAGAAAAATAGGGTCCAAAAATAGGGCTGAAATTTTCCAAAAAGCAAATCTAAGTCTATCATGTATGCCTCCACATCCTTTGAAGTCTCCATCTAAACTGGTAGCAAAGCTATGCCTGCTGCACCCTTCTCATGTTATGTCAAACGTAGCCTAGGTTTTTTTCCTTGATAAGTGCTCATGCAGGGCTGTACCATAAAGCACGCTTAGCTTCGCCAACCTATAAATAGAAATAGGAATCCCTAAGATGCAGCAGAGGCTTGCTGACAAGACCAAGGCTGGCTACTGCTCTGTCTCACTGCTTGGTTACTAAGAGTTAAGAAAGGTGAAAAGGAAACAAATAATAATAATTCATTGTTTCTCTTTTATCAATTGCTTTTTTCTTTCCAAAGACGCCTTTGAATTCACAATCTATAGTTTATTACCCCTTCAGTAGGGTTTGTTAATCTTGATTACTCGCAGCATGTTAAAATTGTTACTACTTCAATGAGATGCTGGAGGCAATAAAGCCAATGACTGAGAAACAGTTATTAAAAGAGTTTGATGTTTCACTAGTTTTTTCTGACCTACCAGTACTTCAAATGGCAGTAGTTCTTAGCACTCCTCCAAATCCTACTTTACTGCATATAAATCAAAGTGAAATATGTTAAAAAGTAGAATTTCCCACTGTCACTTAACTACTACTGGGCAACTTGCAGTTTTGCATGAAAATCAGAAATGAGTGGATTTTACTAAAGATTAAATTCAGACTTTTCTTACCTGAATTCTTCTCTGTAGTCATTCCTAATATGCTCAGCTAAGGTCTTGCTGTACTGTAGGCAGCTCTTCAGGATATAAAACTGCTGGTACAATAGAACTGCTTGGCTGGGACTTAGCAGCCGAAATGAAGCTGAAAGCCCCTTCACCATTTGTTTCACAATAGTGGCCACAAAAGTAATCTAGACAAGGAAAATGCAGTTACATGCAGGTTTCATGCCATCCATAAGAGCACCTGTTTCAGTTAGAGCTTCAACTATAAGTGCAGGTGGAAGTCCTCAGCACCCTTTACACCAATGGCCTTGCGCTGTTTCTCATCGCAGTGGTATTCAGACCGCACTAGACCATAGCCCAGCTGGGTTTACCAGTTGTACCCTACAAGCAGGATCAGAACTAAATGTACTGTCAAGGAAATCTAGGCTCCAAAGTGGAAGGAGAACACTGGAAGCAGGAGTAGGGGTAGAAAGGGAGCTCGGAAAGGGCCTCATCCAGTGGGGAAGATAATTTCTCTTCTATTTTACTGTTAAGAACAAATGGCCCACAGGGATAAAGTACCTGTGACTTTCAAGGAGGTTCCTACAAGGCATCGGTGATGTTGATGTCACTGTTAGCTGGGTTTTCAGTAAGAGCACTTCTGTCATTTTCAGGGAGAAATTAAAATGAAAAAAGGTACCAATTAGGTCAAGTTATTGGGGGTCTGTTTCTCATTCACAATAGAACCAAACAATAAAAAACAAGAATAATGGATTCCACAAGTCTTTTGGGAGGGGCACGCACATTTTCAAACTACTCTCCAATGAATATAAACTACTATAAAAAAACAGAAAGGAACGCTAGTGTCCTTTCAAGTCAGCAGGTCCTTCTGAATGCCCATTAATCAATAAATATGTTGCTTTTCTACTGATACTGCTATTGGCCCTTCCTAAGTAGGGCAGGTGTCTTGAAGTGGGTTTTGCCCAATCCAGATTCATTTATACATATTGACTAGTGTGTCAGGCAAACACACACTGAGGTAAGTCAAGAGCAGTGGAACAAAGCAATGCCCACCTGGGGATTAAACTTGTAACTTCTTTAGCATCTTGCTCTAACCAAGTAAGAGAATCAACCTGAGCTGACTGACATACAGGTATATTTGATGATTCCAATTTTTTCCGAGCTTGCAAATTTCTCTCAAATGGTCTGTTTCTATCCATACTCTTCAGAACTGGGCTACTATTGAAGCTTTCAGTGTGTTAGTGGTCCTTTGCCACCCTTCATCCTGACATGCTTTATGGTCACAGACTAGCCTCATAACTCAACTCAATTCCTTTGGTGAACCAATCCTAGAGGTTGATAAAGAAACTTGCCTGTTGTGTGGAGTTCTTAGGACCCCAGATTTCACATATCAGTTCAGAGAATAGGGTCTGCAACCACCACACAGGAAAAGTAAGGGTTTTGGCATCTTACACATACGAGCTTCTGTGGCTGTGAATAACTATAACTTTATGATACTCCCTGAAGTGAGCCTGAAACTTGATTAGGGTCTTTGTGCTCCTAAAGGAGCCAATTTCATGGGCTCAATCTCTGTGAAGGCAGTTGACTGTACCACTAAGAAGTGCATTCTCTGGGCCCAGCCAGGTTTTTGTAAACATGTCACAGGAATCTGGCAAGACAATCTAGATACCCTAGGACAGACTAAACATCGCTCTAGGAAAACAGCTCAAAGTAGGAAACTACTGATGATCAACAGAGGTTTACATATGGAAAGAGAACATATTGCCTCATGTCAAATCCTTCATTAGCAATGAAAATTTAGCTTAAATTACTACCTTCTGAAGAGACTTCCTATTAAATACATGTTGATTGAATATATGAATTCATGAGTGAATAAAAGGAAATTAAGTTAGGGGGGATAAAAAGAGATTAAGTGGTAAAGCCTCTATTAAAATTTATTCAGCACATATTTTATTGAATATCTATTATGTGCCTAGCACAACAGACATAGCTCCTGCCCTCACGGCACTTGGAGTCTGTTGGGGGAGAAGGACATGTATCAGTCATGATAAACTATGCTATGCTATGTACAAATCTCACAAAATATCAATTCTTTACTTAAAACAATAAAAGTTTAGTACTTGATCTCACTGTACATTCCTCACAATGTGTGTACTTGCTCAGGACTGTTTGGGATGTTGCCAGTCACCATGCCAGAGACACCATGCTACGACTATAACGGGGGAATAGTACCTAGTTAGAGGTCAGAGAATCACCCCCTCCACCCTGCCCAGGGACGAGACATGGAGGCCTGAAGGGTGAGTCAGAGTTAACTAGGTGGAAAAGGGAAGGAAAAGCCCTTCACATAGACATGGAATGGTAATGGTCCTGTGATGGAGTCGGGGTTGCTGGGGGTGGGCAGTGAGTAGGAGACCCGCACAGCTGGAAGAGTGAGGGACTAGATGAAGCTGTAGGGCCATAACATGCATGGTCTTATAGGCCACATTAAGGAGTTTAGTCTTTATTCATTATTCCTTTGTTATGAGAGATTTAAAGCAGGGGATGACATAATCAGGCTTTTATTTTGAATAGATTCCTCTGAGTACAGTCTGGTGGGAGAACAGGGACAGACCATGTGGATATGACTGCGGTGTCAAGGAGAGATGGGGATACTGCGGACAAGGTGGTAACTGCCAGGACACAGTGCCACATGACCCAGGTATGTTCATGCTTACCAACTCATACTCACTGTTAAAGATAAATGTTTGCTTGCCAACTCATACTCACTGTTAAAGATAAATGTTCATTTTTTCCACTTAATTATATAGCCAATATTTTAATGTTCCATTTTCTACATATATCTTAGGATTTTCAGGAAATAAACCACATTTAAGATGTCATTTCAATACCTTAAACATTCAGGCCCCAAATATAAAAACATTTTAGTTATGCAATAAAATCAAATTTATGTTTGGTTTCTGTTTTACAAACCTGACTGCTTACAGAGAAAATCTGTGTCTTATTCAAGAGCATTTGTTTAATTGCCTCGAGTAGTGGTTTTCTCTAAGTTTCTTGGTACTTTATATGGGAGGACAACTTTGTAGAAAGGACATCATCCAGCTAATAGCAAGCTTTGTTGTTCCCAGCCCAAGATTTCCCTGAAAGATTCAAGGAAAAAAACAAGTTATATTCATGAAGTTCAAGTTGTGCCTAAAAGGATATTCATTGTCAAACACATTTTATCCTGACTAATCAAATCTTTAAAATCGGTATTTAGAAAAATAAGCTAGATGAGCACTTAAGAGCAAAAGTAATATCATTTAAGCCAACCGATTTTGGAGACCATGTCTAATACAAGCATTTTTAAAGGTATATAATTAATCATATACATGTGTCATATAATAATCATGATATATATAATAATCACACAATATATTATGTATAATAAAAATATATATTGTACCTGCTGAAAGACAAGAAGAATCTCATCATATAAAAGTGCTATAGCTATATCTGTATATTCCAGGATAAGCTTCTGTAACTAGAATTTTAAATAGTAATCAATGCAATATATTGGCAGAGCCAGGAAATAATTTCTCCTGATACCCTTTAGGTATTTATAAAGAATTTTTGATTAACTGAAAATATAATTAGTGTAGCCAGTTTTCCTTAACCATTTGGTTCAGTTGGTCTCAAAAAAGTGGCTCTCGTGAAAAGACTATGCAAAAGTGGCTCTCATAAAAAGAAAGTGGGTCAGGGAATGAAGGTACAATAACCCATAGAATATTAACACAAAAAAATTGCACACTTGATGTACAAAATCATTCATATCAACAGCCCTGCTTCCTTTCATGAATGCAGAAATATGCTACCCAGGATTAAGGTAGGAGATTTTCTTGGAAATGCAGGTTTATGTCCAACTTGAATTATAATTCCTTCTGTGTTATAGGTAAATATAGGGGTTAGAGTTTTTTTTTTCTCTAAAGAACTCTGAACTCTCAGTTTGGTGAGGCTGACTTCTTGCCCATAGGCCACTTGGTACATGACAACTGTGTCTGTGTGCATGTTACAGGCCAGCACATTTTCTCTGACAGTATTCTCTGCAATAAAGAGCTCTCGTTTGAAATCTCCCACTCTTTTACACCTTGGAAATAAAATGTATATGACCTGCTCATAGCCTCACTAATAGCCCAGATGCAAAAGATCAGCAAGTCTAAACCAGGAAACTCAGACCTATCTTTTCTGTGCACTAGATATTTTTATATGGAAATACCATAGGCAAATCAAACCAACTAGTCTAAAACCAAGCTCATGGTTTCCCCTTTGAACCTACTCCTCTTGCTTTAATTCTTATCTGACATGCAGGCCAGAATCTAAAAGTCACCTAATCTTGACACTTTATTTTCACACCAACCCATCAATTCCTAAAAATTTCTGCATCTATCCTCCTTACAACTACCATCCCTTGTCTTCATTTAGTTATTCAACAAATATGCATCAGACACTATACTAGGTGTTGGGATGCAATGGAGAACAACCAAGACCATGTCCCTGCACTCATGAAATACACAAGCTAGTGGGGAGGAGACATCAGTCAATAATCAAAAAAATAAATGCACAGTTGCAAACTGAAAAAAGCGCTATGAAAGAAAAGTAAGAAAGTAGGAGAGCTCTAAAAAGAAAGCCTACTCTTGTTTGGGGGTCAAGGAAGGCTTCCTTTTGGTCCATGTTACCCTCATGTGGACTACTGCACTACCTTCTTAGCAGCTCTGCCTGTCTTGAGTCTTGCTTCCATCCCACTCTTTAATCCCTAACTCACTCACTCCACTGTTGAAAGTAATATCATAGATGATCCATTTCTGTCTGTAATAATATATTCATGTTATTGATTAACATCTGTCTCTCGAACCAATCTGTAAGCTAATAAGGGCAGAGATTGTGTCTGTTTTGCTTCTTGTTTGGACCCCACACCTAGCCCACTATTAAGCTCATAAGAGATTCTCAATAAATATGTATCAAGTGAAAGAGTAAATTGAAGACTTTTCTAAAACATAACTCTGTATGTTTAAGAACTATCAAATCACGTCCCATACTTTTAAAAAAATTGTGTTGGCCTGCTCAAAATAAACTAATAATAAGTTGATTTAGTCTCTCAGAATAAATGCTTTCTAGGCAGGTTGATTATTTCTCTTACTTTAGTAAAGCCTTAGAAAAACAAGTAACTCCCGCTGAGTTTGCACTGCTTACATAGGTAAGGAGATGGTAAACTAAGGCAAGAGTGTTAACCCTAAAATCTCTAAGACAGTGTGCTATTTTACCCATTAGCCCCCTTCTGTGGAATTATATTTACATAAATATTTTGTATACAGACAGAAAAATGGATTTATCTAATGGCATATTAATATTGACAGAGTAGTTATTTAAGTTTTGAGGTTAATGACAAAATATTTACTCTTTGATTTAATTATATTTTTACATTCTACAATGTCTTGGTCCACATTAGAAGACAAGAAGCTAGGACCCTTCATATTAAATTTCATTTAACCCCAAAATTCTCATCTCACCTCAGCATCAAAAGACTTCTCAGCTAAAGTTGAATCAGCCACCAACTGGATATCAAACACAGGACAGGATTTTGGGATCTGAGGCTCACTAATTAAAATTACCAAGAGATTAAATAGTGTTCCCCTGAAAAAGTAAAAGTAATTAATGAGTAAAATTTGAAAAGAAAAGCAATGAGCCAAGTTTGAAGACATTGGATTTAATTAAAAGTACAAACCATTGCAGACCATTCTTGACCAGAATTGTGGATCCTTAGACATGCAGACAAATGTCTAAACATTTAAATGGAAATATAATTTCTTGGTTTTTGGCTCAGAGCAAGTACCTGGTTCTAGAAGTTCACATAGCTTAGAAAGCTTAGAAAAATCTGGATTTAAGGGAAATAGCAGTGATTCCAATTATAGCAGTATTTTTTTCAAATGGCTTGTTATGGATTACTAATTCCAGGCAATATTATAGTCAAAATAGATTCTGTGGTCAAAGGAGTTATGGAAAATACTTGGTTAAACCAAATTCGTTGGATAGTTTTGTGATAGGACGTCTCAGAGGCTTTAACATGCTAATGTGCATTGTATATCTCTGGGACAAAGACATTTCTTGAGATGCTCATTTCATCACAAATTTTTAAACTCTAGACCCCCTTTTTAAACAAAGCATTTCAGAGGTTTGCTGTTCCACTGAAAACCACTAGCTATAGTTAATAAAATTAGTATTAAACTTCAGGTCTTTTGCTTTCAAATGCAGTGTACTGTCCACTAACCTATACTAGTAACTCACTTAAATGTTACTACATGTTTGACTCATATACCTTATTATTGAAAATAAAAGGAAGAAAAAATGACAACTGAAATTGAACATTCTGGAGAGCCAAGTTAGTAACACCATCTTCATTTGTGTAGTACAACCCACATATGGTTGAAAAAGAGCCGAAAGCAGAGCATTAGGAAAATCAGTTGCCTAACTGAAGACAACAGAGTAGTTTTGACAGATAGGAGTACTAAAAGAATTTATAGATAGAACTGTATAAAAATTCTCTATACCTGTAAGCATTCATTTCATAATGGAATGAAGGAGACTATAAAAAATCCTCATCTAGTAATATTAGAGGCTTCCTAATCTTTTAAACAATTGTTTAAGTCTACCATGATTAGAAGTTCATGATTAACAAAAATTATAATAAAAATACAATTCCCCTCCTTTTTCCAACTCAAAAAACAAGCCTAGTTCTCATATCTGCAAAAGAAGAATCATGTCAGCACATTTCTCAAAAAAAAACAGGACATGTCTTACAGGATATTTACTAATGTTTCATTCAGGTTATTTTTAAATAGCCAATCTTAGTTTTAGAAGACTGTTCCAAAAAACACTCCATTTAGAAGCTTTGTCTGATAATAAATTTGAATTGACCTTCCATTCACTGTTACATTTCAGTATAGTCCTTTATTTTCAGCAACAGCTTCTTTTCAAAGTATCATATATCTGAGGCTAAGGGAAGGTACTCTCAAATTCTGGGTCACTTACTGTGATGATAAATGAATTCAGCCATAACAATACTGAAATATGAAAGGATTATGGCACATTTCAAGAATAATACAATGTAATGGGTTGAACTAATAGAATTTCCACTTATGAAAAAAAGGAAAATGCTGAAGTGAATAAATGCTTTTTTATTTGCTCAAATGGAATTTAATCTGAAATCTACCCCTTCTGCCAAGTCAATTTAAAAATCCATGAGGCCAATAATAGAAGAAATTTTAATTTAAATAGTAGTTTCATCCTAAAAGTAAAGACTTTATAGGATTAACATCACAGCCTCTAAAAATGGTGCCAAAGTTTAATGCTTTCATTGCTTAGATTATTTCCAAAGAAATAATTTTTAATGTGTTATAATATATTTTAAAATACAGACTTTGATAGGCAAACTCATAGTCTCTTAAGTCAATCTATATTATTGTGGCATAATTATAATACAGCTTCTGAGATCACTCTTGTGATTCTGTTATGTTAGAAGAGAATGATGAAGAAATTCTGCATATGTATTAAGGTTCCTACTTAGCTGACTTGAGTTAATCAAAGGGGAAGTATCCTGAGTGGCCCTGATCTAATCACATGAGCCCTTTAAAAGAGAGCTTGGGCAGTCCTTGAGCTCAGAGATATTCTCCTGCCAAGAAGCAAGGCATCATGAGTTTATTTTATAGCTGGAAGGAAATTAATGCTGCCAACACCCACACAGATGAGCATGGAAGAGGAACCTAAGTCTTAGATGAGACTGCAACCCTAGCCAACACCTTTATTGCAGCCTGTGAGGCCCTGAGCAGAGAAGCCGAGCTATGCCCAGATTTCCTGATCTACAGAAACCATGGGCTTAAAAGTTCACACTGTTTTAAGCCACTGAGTTTTCTATTGTTTTACCACTGACTGGTGATTTGTTACAGGGCAATAGAAGACTAATACTGGTATCTAAGATATTTACTGTGCTAGTTAATGCTGTGGGTAACATGACTTGGCCCTGTGCATATCAAAACTGACTGAAAAGTTAGTATTACAATCAGACTCTATGATAGCAATGTAATATATGTATTGAAAGACATGTGAAGAATTAGTTGTAACAGGGAAGAAGCTTGATAGAGTAGAACTGATGTGGTCAAACAAAGTTAAGGCAGAGCAATTAAAATACAGCACTTTATAGCAGAGGTTAGCAATTTTTTTTTCAATTTAAAGAAAGGGACAAAAAGGTAGAAAAAAAGGGTGACATGATTTATCAATAATTTCAGAAATATTAGAAATAATCTTGAATCTCCATTTTGGAGATTGTGGAAATGGGAGTACTGCCAACTGCATAAAGTACACAGAGAAAATACTAGTGTATTTTCCTTGTTTGAGGTAAATCAGGGGTCAAAAAACTATGCTTTTAGGCCAAATAGCCCAGAGCCTGTTTTTGTGAATAAAGCTTTACTGGAACACAGCTGTGCCCATTTATATATTGTTTGTGGCTGCTTTTGTGCTATAATAACAGAGTTGAGTAGTTGCAACAGAGACTATATGGCCTGAAAAGCCAAACTGTTTACTATGTGGCCCTTCACAGAAATGTTTGACCACCCCGGCTATAAAGTATAGTATGGCCATGGTCCCTAGCATACAGGAAGTTGCTTAAGAAATGTTAATGAATATTATCATTAAAATTTATTTGTGAAGGTCTCTAATAAATAGCCTGAATGAATATTACTAAAAGTTGTTATTCTTTCCCCTGGTTCAAATGTTCCATCCTCCTTCCACCCTCTAATATAGGAAATTTAGATAAACAATCAATGAGGGTGGAAAAAAATTAAGATTTTATCCAAAACATTGCCCTCGGATGTCATTCATTATCTATAAATCATATAAAAAGGTCAAGCAAACAATATGCAAAACATGCAAACACATAACTTTCTATGGCAAAGAATGCCATTATTCCCCTACTATACATTATTGCATTCTTCCTTGTAATAATAGATGTCCCCATCACCATCTAAACTTTAGCTTGGCACATAACTATGCAACTCCGACACATTTTCCAGCCTCTCTTGCAGCTATGTATGGGCATATCCCTAAAGTTCTTACCAATAGAATATGAGCAACAGTCTTACATGCCTTGTTTAAAAAGGAAATTTGCTTGCCCTCTACTTCTCTTCCTGCATCCCATAGGGCTTAATGAGGTCAAGAAAGTCAGCCAGCTTTAATCGTGAGGACAAGTGTAATAAAAGATGGCAGAGCACAAAAAGGGAAAGAACCTAGATTTCTGGCTAGAGGAAAGCATGACTATCAACTCTAGATTGTTACATGAGAAAGATGTTAAATTTTGATGTTCTCTGGGCCACTTTAGAGTCTTTATTATAACAGCTTACCCTGTATGTTAATGAGTCCTTCAACATCATTCACTCCAAGGTCACACAATTATAATATAAAATGAAGATGCTATAAATCCTGCCTTTGTAATGCAACTTTTATGTTATGTGGGTATAAGAGTACTCTGGAAAATTCTAATACAGACCTTCTGGCTTCTAATGTGTGATGGCTAATTCAGTCTTTTTCAAGTTCAACAGACAATAACAAAAGATAAAAGTATACTAAGAAAATCTTTGTACCCTTACTAATCCAGAAAGACAGGAGTGTCTCTCAGTATGTGCCAATTAATCTGTTCATCACACAAGGAAGTGGAGAGACAAACAGTTTAAAATACTTGGAAGGGAAGAGAGAAGTTAGAGAGCTGAGTTTTGGAAGACACTCAACAGAGTAGTTAATGGGTTATAACTACAAGGTCCCAATGTCTTCTAAAAGACCTTACTTAGTTGCCAGTGTGTTCAGGCGCGATGACTCAGTTTCTGTTTCCCTGAACATCAATCCTAGAGTCTGTATAATTTCAATGCATGCCCTAGAAAACAAGCAGAAAAAAGCACAGAAGTGGCATGATTTCACTGCAAATGCAGAATTCTGCAAAGTCAGTAATCCTAGATAGACTTGCACTCAGATATCCATGTAGAAAAAAGTACAAGAAGGAAATTCTGTATATCAGCATGGATTAAATGCCTACTCTGTGATTGCTACATACTAAGCACTCAAACGTTTTTGTTGAATGAATGAATAAATAGCTGGATGTCATTTTCATGTTGTTTTTTTTTTGTGCTTATGTTTTTTCCAAAGTTTTTATGATGACCACACTGTTTTAAAAATATTTTTGATAATTTTAACTTTTTCAAGTAGGTAATATTAGGCTCAAAATTTCAAAGGTAAAAAGGAAATACAGTGACAGATGTGTTTCCTGCAGACATCCAATTTTTTTCTTTTGCGGCAGCTAGTATTATCAGTTTCTTGTATATTCTTTCTTTAAATATTAGAACAAATGAATGTTTTTAAAAATCTATGTGAAGCAAAACTTGAAATCCCCTTAATCATTAATACAGTATATATTTTCTCCAAAACCTTCCATTTATATTTAACACCATAGGGAAAAAGTATCTATGATTATCCAGTTAGTACTTACAATAGCTCACCAGCCCTTTCACTTTTATTTTGAAGTGCATTCTTTTTTTTTATTTTTTATTTATTTATTTATTTTTTTTTTGAGAGGGCATCTCATATTTATAGATCAAATGGTTGTTAACAACAATAAAATT